CATATGGTCGAAATTCGGTCGCTCAAAATTTTGTCTATTTTGAAAACAAAAACCACAACTATAAAATAAGCGGTCTTATGGATATTGTAGAGCTTTTCACGCTGCATCTTGTGTTATAATTTGTTGAAAAAAGTTCTCTGAAATTTTTCTATTTATATCTATATGAAAATTGTCGCGAACTTTTTTGCCATGCCTTATTATCAAAATTGCAACAACAAATATTGAAGTGACCATTAAACAATAATTTTCTCATAGACTTTTAGAACACATGAGTAGTAAGAATATGACATTTGACGCAAATTTTGCACGACCATAAAAGAGATCATTCCCAATGAAAAAGTTCTGAACTTGGTCTACACATTAAAGAACTCATAACAGTTTAATTATATCGACAGTGATTTAAAAGAAAAATTGTTCGTATTTTGTCAGTAATGTTAATCACTATTAATAAGCAAATAAATTGTTTATTATGTAAATCTATAATAAATGTATTTCATTTGTTTCAAACTTAAAAGTATATTTCATTGTATAACAAAACAATTTAAACTAAATTAGGATGTGTTTCACATTTCAGCTCCAAAGGGGCTGCGTTAACAAGCTTTTATTTTGTTGTTCTATTATTATAAATCATAGGTTTGTACAAAATCTTGTTTTTTATGGTGTTTCACAAAATACGGGTAAGAGAAAATGATTGGTTTTTTATGTTTTTTGGCATAAGAAGTTAAATTTATTCTAGGTGCTTGGTTACGTAATCCATACATATCATTTGCAGCAGGTGCTCTTGTAGAAATCGTTGCTTATTTTGTTGTCCATCGTATTCTTCTTCGATGGGGTCGCAAAGTAACTTATTGTTCATTTGTAATTGGATTTGCAATATTTGCATTTCTTGTTGTACCAATTCAAATGTTAATGATTAAAGGCAGTCATGGTAATTATATATATTAGACAATTTTTAATTAATACTTTCTATCGTTCTATCTCTTTATTAAGGTCAACATAATCTCATGTTCGTAGTTAATGTTATTCTTAAATTGTTTGCTTCCGGTTCTTATGCTATCATATATATCTATGCTAATGAAGTATTTCCTACGTCTGCTCGAAATACAGGCATTGGCATTTGTTCAATGGTTGCTCGAATAGGAGCTATTATTGGTACATTATCGAACGACATTTTGGTAAACAATTTATTTTGCTTTTTGTTGTTAATATTAAAAGGGTTTCTTTAGACTCGCGTATGGCTATATTTTCCTATTGTTGTCTTTGGTTTGACTTCCGTAATTGCAGTTGCATTTGTTGCAATTTGTCCAGAAACATTCAATAAACCATTGCCTCAAACAATCGAGGATGTCGAACAAATGGGTCTTGCTTGGTAGCCCCTTTTTTTTACTTTTTTTCTACTAAAAAACGATTTTATTATTTTAATATTTCATTTAGGCCTTGGAAAAAATCAAAATCATTGGCAGGGTCACAAATAGATGACAATGATGATATTAACGAAACGATGTTACTCAAAGAGTAACCAAAAAAAAATAACATTGTAAAGTTTTATTCAAATAATGTCTTCTTATTTGCAGCTTATTGTTTAATTGTAACAATATATTTATCCAGAAAATTAATGGAAATTATTGGATTTTATTGAAAGACACTTTTTTATCAAAATATAGATTTTGTAAATAACTAATAAATATAACCAATACTCAATTTTATTCTCTTTTAATAGGTATCGAATTTTATGACTATAAGATAATAAGTTTAGAAATAAACAAGGTTCTTGTCAGTAGTTTTCGAAACAGATTTTTTTTCCTACCAGACATAAAGCATATTCTAAAGTATTGGTTAAAATAAAATTGATGAGACAATGAAATCAAGTTGGACTGAGTGTCTGAAGCACTTATATTGTCTTCGAAAATAAAAAAGCCAGAAAGAATGGTGTCATATCTTTGAAGCGACTATTCAGTTCTGGTTAGGAAATTGCATTGAGAGTATCAAAGTACGGTTCGACCGCAGATGAACAAGATTCAAGTATGTGAATTTTCGTATTTGATTTTCGTGATGTCTTTCCTTCTTGACTAGTGATGTGCTATTATTGATAATCATCATTGATCGAAAATACAATCGTTATACAACAACCAAGCACTCCTAGCAGAACAAAACTAGGGCAGGATAGAGAAGTTATCCTTACAATAACAATTATCAAGTAACGGATAACTCAAAAACTCATTACCACAATTTCTCGATAAGGGAGAAGTATTTTGGGAAAATAATGAGTTTTTTTAAAGTTTGAGGGTATGGATGTGGTTGCAGTCACACAGTCCACACTCACACTCCATTTTGGTCTGAAGTTCAAGTTCTTTTTCAATATTTTTTTACCATTTCGTAAAAAATCAAAAGTAGTATAACATATATAAAATTCAGTATGTCAATTTGTGATTTCAAAAATTGACACCATATATACGTTCAAAAATCTATTTTTATGAACTCATACATTATGACCTACTACCAAGGGAGAAACGGCGTACTTTTGTACTTGAAGAAACTTTGCGCTACTTCAACGTACTTTGAACTACTTTAGCCTACTATAACCTACCTTTAACCACTTCGAAATACTTCAAGATACTCCAAAAGCTTTTTAATATAAGACTCAGTCCATATAAGTGACAGTCGAACTAGCTCAATCGAGGTAGTCAGATTTTCTCCATCTTATGATATAGGGTGGGCCAAAAGTAACCTAACACAAGCTTCTTTTCAACTTTTTTTCTTTATAGATCCATAGTTTTATCTCATATTTGGACCACATATACTAGATGACAATACTCAAAAAAAGAGCCTATTATCAGCCTTTGGCTAACAGAATTTGTCAGAAAACATATGAATATCTTTCGTACACTCTTATATGACAGTCACATAAGTTTGTATTTTTCTTAGTGTTGTGTTTCTATCTTTTGGTCTGCTTGCATCAAAATGTACAGGATGATTTGAATTGTATTGATCTTTACGTTATTTCAGACTTGTTGCGTAGAAAATTACTCAAAAACAAAATATAATGAAAAAAGACATTGCCTTCGATTAGACAACACCGAACTTATGTGACAGACAGTCATATAAGAGTGTACGAAAGATATTCGTATGTTTTCTGACAAATTCTGTTAGCCAAAGGCTGATAATAGGCTCTTTCTTTGAGTATTGTCATCTAGTATATGTGGTTCAAATATGAGATCGAACTATGGATTCATAAAGAAAAAAAGTTGAAAAGAAGTTCGTGCAAGGTTACTTTTGGCCCACCCTGTATGTTATTGAGAGAAGAGAACTGAGAATATCTACGCAAGTCATTTGAAAAACTATTGTTCCGCTCTTGAGGCATTCAAATTTTACGAAAACTTTTTAACCAAAAAATGCTATTTTTTCGATTTTTTTGACATCAATATCTCATCAATAGTACAGGATGCGTAAAAATGCTTTTTTAGGGGGTGATGCTATGATTTTAAACAGTATTAATAACAATTTTATACCAAATGAAAGTGCGTCAAAAATGGGATTTGTTGGTATTAAATGGGAACAGTTTTGCCATTTTTTTTATAACAAACATAACAAATCTCTAGAAATTTTCGCACTATAATTGTGATAACCCATCGACAATGAGTCATTAGACAAGAAAGATGCTTTTTTCACAAAAATTAATAGAAGCATCATTGTGATAATTATTCAACATGATCCAGTTCATAAGATAATATTATTCTTTTTCGTTCTGCTGTCCTTTTATCTCCTTCTTTTGAATATGAATGACGGTATGTCGCCGGAATAATAGAAAGGATAGAGCAGCTTTCATTTTTATTTTCTATGGGTCACTTCGCCGCTTTGCAAGCATGTTTCGTTGCACTATATCAAGTAGTATTTTTTTCACTTCTGTTCGATATTAGGATAAAAATTTTAAGCACGTGTGGAACACTGTAAGGTCGTTTCGTAGTTTTATGAATTTCATAAATAAAAACAATTGATTCTTTTCGTTCATTAATTTAACTTGATTGACTGAAAATAGCTGGTACTTATGACACAGAACAGCAAAGAATCTTCGACAGAATCAAATGTATTGCTTTTCGTGAAGCTCGGGATGCCGGTGCAACATTTATTGACCGACAGTAGATTGCAGAGAAAATTCATCGTACTACGCGATTTGTCACAGAGTGGTGGGAAAAGTCATATGATCATTGTTTTGCTGATTATTCGGAATGTGGTCGTAAGCTTAAATTATCAGATGCAAGTCGAAGCCTCATTCTCAGTGCAACTGATAAGCAAAAAAGAAGTTCTTATGTTTTGGTGAAAGAAATTGCAGAAAAACACGAGGAATATGTATGTTGTCCCAAAAACAATTGACAATTATGGTCATAGAGAAGGCTTAAAGCCGTTTCATGTTATTCCAAAACCTTTAAAAACAGAAACTCATATTTGAGACAGGCTATGGTTTTGTGATTGGTTAAAAAATTGAACTCAAGAGGACTTTCTCCATCTCGCACCATCGGATGAATTTTATGCTTGAATTGTTCGCAGATCAAATTATCAGAATGATCGAGTTTGGACAAAAATTATTGAAGATATTGATGATGACGGAAAATATCGTGCAATGGTTAAAAACCAAGCGTGCATTGACATTTTTATCATTTTTGAGTGCGAAAAAGCTGCATTAGGTAATTAAAGATAAGGGTGAATATTGGACTGGTCAATATTTTCGTGACATCATTTTAATGCAACACGTGTTTCCATTTCTCAAAGATGAAGAAAAGGTGATCGATTTGGATCATGTGATATTTATTAATGACAAAGCACCATGAATGTGAGCAAATATGACTCAACATTTGTTTCAAGATAACTATATCAATTTTTGAAGAAATGACACCTGGTCTGGTAATTCACCTGATCTAAATGTAGCTGAACATATTGGAACAATAATTAAAAATGAAGTTGAGCAAAAAATGTTATCCAAAACGGAACATAATCATTATGAGAAAAAAACATTAAAACAAACACCTCTCATACGTTTTGACAAAGATGGAATCAAACATCGAGTTATTTGAAACTCTCTTATGTTCCTATCGGTCACGTGCTCGTGTAGTAAAAAATGCTAATGGACGTCACACTGATTACTGATTTTATTCATCAAATCTGAAAAATAAATCTACTTGATGTCATCCATCATTTTGAATCAGATTTAGTTTGAACTACCTCATGAAAGAAATTTGTTCATAATAAAATAGCGAAAATGTCTAGAGATTTACAGTTTGATATAAAAATATGGTAGAATTCTTACCATTTAATACCGACAAATTCCATTTTTGACACGCGTTCATTGGTTATAAAATTTGTTATTAGTGCTGTTTAAAATCATAGCGTTACCTCCCTGGAAATACATTTTTCCGCATCTTGTACATCCGTTTCGGTTGAAACTTTTAGTATGAGTGTATCTTAGATTTGTCCATATCTCACAAAAGAAACAATCTCAAATATGTCAGCCATAAATGAGTTGATCAAAACTATCGAGCATATGAAAGATTTTTCATTTTCTCGTATTTTGCGCAGATACCTATCGCCTGAATGGTTCAGATTCGAGAGCTGAATTCTACCTTAAGGTCCCTAGTGAATGAGCTCTCTTTGTATTATAAATCTCAGTTCTCAAGTTAGATTTGTTCATCCACAATGTATGCGTACAAAATGCCAAAAAGTCAACTGTTTTGCATGCAGTTGGCATTCTAGATCAATTCATAAATCCTTCATGTGTTCAAGTTTGTTTGTTTTAGGAAATATGCACAAATCAAAGATAGACTCATGCTAAAAGTTTGAATCGAAATGGATGTACTGTTGATGAGATATGGATGCCAAAAAAATCGAAAAAATGGCATTTTTGGCTAAAAAGGCTGTTGATAAATTTGAATATACCAAGAACGGAACAATATTTCTTCAAATGGCTTGTGTAGAAAGCTAGGAAAAAGTCATCTCTATAATGCATATGGAAACAGTGAAGTCGGTGATAATCTGTTGAGTAACTTCTGTGGAGAGTCGATTGTAGCTTTCGTGCAGTGGGTCATACACCCCTACCAAAGATGACCTTCTGTACACATCATTTATTGAGATCCCACGCTAATTTTTCTGTGGGGTTGTAGACCAGAGAGAGTGCTGCCAACTCTTGTATGTCAGCTCCCAAACTGACTCATTTATTGAGAGAAAACCTATTCTGAAAACCTCTATTTTTAACAAAATCCATTATTGAGAAGGCTTCTCTGGCTAAACAAAATGCCGTATAAGGCTGAAATTTTTCAGGGTGATAAAGCTTTCAGTGCTATAATTACAATAAAAATTTCAGACCTCTATATCATTCCATTAA